AACCTCCCACTAGCGGGCACACGATTATCACGACCATATTGGAGACAAAACCAAGCAAACTTTACAAACAAAACCGAAATTCACAATCGTTCTCACTTTCAAGAATAAATCAAAAGGATCTCATGTGGGCATGCTTAATTTTAGAAAATAAGGAAAATGATAAAAGTTTAATTTCCCTTTTCAATCATGCTCAAATGCGAATAAATCCATTTAAACCTCGCCACCATCTCAGAAAACAGTTAAAATATGCTTCAAAAATTTAAGGGCATTACCACGATTTACTTACCTTAGTCACGCAGAACAGAAGGCCTAATCCAAGTGCTAAGACCACAGGGCAAACAAGGACCTATTCACAATATTCTCGAGTTAATATCTATAAGGAAATTTTATTCCTTTATTTATTTTCATTTCTGCTTTTCCATCCGGAAATTAAGCATTAACCGGGATTGGTTACTTATCTATGTATCTACCATTATATAATTACCCATATGCAAATTTTCCTCAATTTCATGGACAAGCAATGGGAGAACCGGCCTTGACAAAAATGGCCAACTCACGGGGTTCTCCCCTTTCTTTCTCTCGGACATCACACAACAACCAAACCCACCAATTTCCTACATAATCATCAACCAATCCATTTTCAATTCACCAAAACTCCTCCCTATTTCAACATAATTTTCGGACAACTCAAGCCCATTTCACACAACCTCTTAAACTCACAAATCAGCACTTAATCCACCAATTTTCAGGAGATTAAAGAAGCCACTTACCAGAAATGCTCAACAAGCAAAGCTGGAGCTGGCGGTAAAGGGAAGAGCCGGCGGGAAAAATTGGAGGACTTCCACAGGGCCACTAGCAATTTAAGGAACAACAAGATTAGAGTGACCCAACATAAATCAAGGCTAAAAAGAGGAGTTTCTGGAATGATTTTTACCAGGAAAACCGAACTCACACCCAGCTGTGGCCGGCGGCAGGGAAGGAAGAAAGCAGCAGATCTGGGAAAATTTCTGCAAGGGAAAAGATTTCTAAGTCCTAAACTTGTTCTTGGGCAAGAGGAGAACAAAATCATCAAGTTCTCTTACCAATTTTGCAGATGGGGACGCTGGAAAATGGCTGGGTTCACTTCGGCTGAAGCAGGGAGAAAAACAGAGCAAACGCGAAATGGCTGGGAGAAAGAAGGAAAGAAAAGAAAAAGAAAAAAAAGAAATGAGTCAGCCGGCCTTATCCAATAAGAGTTTAACCCCTTTGAAGTTTGAAAAATTGACAATTAGGTCCATTAATAATGTTTCTTCATCATTAAGTCCCTAACTCAACTTAACGCTCTAGGAAATTTTGGGGTATTACAGAGAGGCAACAACCCTTGTGAAAAACTTAGATA